AGCCTCGGGGGTGCGCCTTTTCAAATTCTTTCCTGACCGTCGCCACCAGGTCCTGGGCCAGGGCCTTTGCCTCTGCCACCTTAGCAGGGTCGGAGCCGCCGATGGACACGTGCAGCGGGTCCGGCCCCTCGTCCGCGCCGCCCGCGCCGCGCCCCGCGAGCCGCACAGCAACGCGCGACGTGCGTGCGATGTGCGCGAGGAAGCTGCCGCCTGGCGGCGGGTGAGGAAGGGGACGCGGTTGCGGGCAAAGGCGGGCCTGTGGCTGCATCGCTCGCTCGGGGCGCTGGGACAGCCGGCGTGAGCCCGCGGTGCTGCCGCCCTGTTAAAAGTCACGCCTGAGCAGCCCCGCCCGCACCGCAACCCCCGCCCGCAAAGGCGCCTTGGGCCAAGCGCCCACCTGGGCCCCTGATCTTCGCCAGCAGGTCAAAGGAGGGCGGCGCCTGGAACCCGACGTACACAACCGCCTGGTGGGGGTTTCGCGCCGCGGCCGCCGCCGCGCCGGGCGGCTTCCCCGCGAGGATCGCCTCCACCTCTGCCGCCGCCGCGTCGCACGCCGCCTGGCGCTCCGCGTCCGACTGCGGGATGCAGGGGAGTGCGTGTGTGGGGAAGGAGGGGGGGGCGTGAAGTGAGAGGGCGACATGGGGCCGCGGGCCGGGCGGCGGCTTGGGGGCGCTGGCGCGGGGGCCCGGAGATTCGCGGAGCCGCGGACGGCGAAGCGGCGGGGAGGGGCGGTGACGCGACCTCGACCCTCGCATCGGCCGCGCCGGCACGCCCCACGCGCCTATGCGCGGCCGACGCGAACCCCAGCAGATGCAGAGCGCGCTTGAGGCCCAAAGTGGGCCCCTCTGGCGCCTCACCCTGCCTGCGTTGGCGGCGGGCCGGATGGAAATGTACAGCGGCCGCTCCTCGCCGTGCGCCGCCCCTGGCGGGTAGTACCGCCCCTTCAGCGACACCACGGTGCACGTGCGCCGCTGGATGTCCTCCTGGGCGCTCCTCTTCGCCAGCTGGACGCGCGCCTTTGCGGGCGCGTCGTTGATGACCACCTCGCGCGCGGGCTCGGGGCGCGGCAGGGCCGCCATGACGGCGCCCGGCGGCTGCGCGGCGAGCGCGGCCGCCGCGGCGGCCTGCGCGGCGAGGGCCTCCTGTGGCGGGTGGCGCGGCGTGGGCGCGGGCGGCGCGTGGCGGGTGGGTGGGGCGCAAGGCGGGGCAGCTGCTGTGGGCAAGCACGTGAGGGTGTGAGTGCCTGGCTCGCAGTCAGGCGACTCCAGGGGCAATGCCTGATGCGCCGGCGCGCTCGGGCGCGTGCACGAGCGAGCGCGGGGGCACGCCAGCGCGGCACGCAATCCAGGGTCATCCCCGCTCTTCTGGCGGCCGCCGCACCGCTCTGAGCTTCTCGAGGATGGCGTCTGCCGTCGTGGGCCCGCCGTGCGCCGCGACGGCGCGCGGCGCGGAGGGCGCAGAGGCACCCGTGGGCACGACGAGCGGCGCCTTTGGGGCGCTCGAGCCCGCATCGTCCCATTTGCGCTTGCGTCCGTCGTCTGCCGCCATGGTCGAGCTGCACTCAGGAGGCGAGGCACTACTGGTGTCTGGAGTGATCTACGCTGTGTGACACTCACAGTGCTGCTCAGAGAGACAAGTCATAAGACGAGTAATTTGGAGCTATGTTCAAAGCAAATGTACTCGCACAGTGCTGTTTCTAGTACTGCTGATGTTTTCTGGTCGTGGTCCTGCGTGTGCGTGCCTTGCCAGGCGTCGTGCCTTTGTGAATGGGATAGCCTTAAAGTCCATGACATTACTGGCTGTCACCTGCCATCAGTTGTAGATATGCCGTTGCATAGAAGGCTCCTTACACCGACTGACGGCAGCCTGCCCCCGCCTTTGACTCAGTCAACACGCGCTCGCTGACCAGCAGTCACGAATCAGCCATGTGAACACAATCAGGCAGATGCACGGCACCTTGACAGGTCTACTTGGATCAAAGAGCTGCTCCTCTTGTCCTATCTTCTGATCCATTGCAGCGCATGCGCCCGACAGCCATGGAGGTCAGTGCCAGACTTGCGCATGACAGGTTCCAGCAGCCGCTCAGCGCCGATTGCAGCCAGCTGTGAGAATGGTGCTGCCGAAGAGGGCCAAGAGATAAACAGCAAGCATGAGATAGCAGCCCTCTTTCCCCACTTCAAGGATGCCTCAAACAATTTCAAGGCCGAAGACGGCAAACACCTGCTTACTGAATGTACTCCCACACCAATTTGAGTGATACTCAGGGAAGGCAGAGAAGTTGCTGCAAAAGAGTAGAATCAGGGGAGTGCAATCTCCCCTGAAAATGCAGTCCGGCAAACAAAGGAGCGCCTCTGGATGAAAGACATCGTACCCCCAAAAACCCCACGCCCCCAAATCGTCAGCTGCTGTTAGTTGGTGAAGGCAAGGCGCGCCTCAATGAATGCGAGACCCCACCCGGCAGCCAGGTTGCGGCGCCAGCGCCCTGTTCAAAGAAATGCGGTGCGCCAGCTGGCAGGAATGGCAGCTCAGAGGCGCACACGAAATGGAGGCGTTCGCAGCCAGAGTAACGGCCCACACACAGGAAACTCCCACAGAGCACCCCCAAGCGAATATATGTATACATATACTCTGAGCTGGCTCCCTAATACATACGTGCACGCTGAGCCGTGGGTGGAAAAGACTCCAAATGAGGGTGCAGGTGGGCCCGTCACTTGCTGGTCGCCGCTGCGCCCGCCCCGTCCTTGCCCAGTGCGCCGTAGGCGTAGCCGTACGCCAGCGCCAGCGCCAGGCCGCCCACGATGTTCCCCAGAGTGACAGGCAGCAGGTTGGCGGTTGTGAACTTCAGGAATGACACAGGCGCGCCCACTGCGAGACGGGCGAAGGGGATTAGGGACGGGTAGCTTTCAAGCAACAAAACGAGGCTGTCGGCCCGTGCGTGGTGAATCGGCGTGTGCAACTGATGAGCGCCATCATGGCGGCTGCAAATCATGCTGTCCCACACTGCCCTGGCGAGCTCAACGCCAGGCGCGACCGTGGCCTCACCGGCAATGCCCATCGGAATTATGAAGCCGTTTGCAATGCTGCAGGTTGGTGTTTGAGGGGGAGAGCCGGCTGTGAGCTCGCTTAGTCATGCGCATGTGGACCTCAAAGTGGTGAGCCCGACCCACACACTACTGTTCGCCACGTCTCCCAGCCGACAGTAGGCTGCTCGACAGATACCCTGATGCGGGCACATCCTCTATCTTGTGCAGCCGCGCACAGAGGCTCAAGGGCTCGTACGTTCAGGGCTGGGGGTGCTTCCCTCCCAATGGACCTGAGGCGGCGCGACACTCCGCCCACCTGTGCTCAAAGCCAATGGCTGTGAAGGTGCTCACCGCCAGCCACGCGGCCAGCATCTTGCCGGGGAACGAGGTCGAGGCAGACGCCATCCAGACAGCCTGATGTTATTATATGATGGGAGCAGGGCAGCAGCACGTGGGCCGCGGCAGCAAGCTCGAGCACCAGCAGACCGGCTGTGATGCGGCCGGCGGTTTGCGCAAGGCAGCGAGAATGGAGGCATGATGTTGGGGGCCACGCGCAGCCTGTGTGGGCGGAAGCTCACCAGGCAGACGCACAGGTTGCAAAGGATGCCCCTGCTGAACGCCTGGCTGAATGTCAGGGACGTCTTTGCCACAGCCGCGGCCTGCGGGAAAGCATAAATCGATCAGGCAGCGTTCTGGGTGGACCGCAGCGATGCCCGGGCCTTGTGCTGGGTTCAACGCGCCGCATCCTCGCCGCAACCGCAGCCAGCGGCAGCTGCGCAGGCCGCATGAGAAATGCAGCATGTGTCGTCGCATTTTGCTGTGGCGCATAAAGATTAGTCTTGCCCCATAAGACTCACCGCAGGCGCAGAGGAGGTGGCCATGACGCCCGTCGCGCACACGAGTCCCACCAGCCCAAGGGTGCCAATGACATTGCCCACAAACGACAGGCAGCAGCTCTTCATCCATTGCCGCAGCGTGGCCTTGCCCTGGGGCAGCGCAACGCGGTCGTCATTGGTAGGGCCAGATGCTCCTCGTCATCGGTAGGGCCAGCCACTGAGCAGAACCATAGTGGACGTACATCACACAGTTGTCGCCGGCAAAACGATCCCGGCGGCCCCCTCCTACTTACCTTGGCAAAAGCAAGCACAACACGCAAGAGCCGTTCGCTTTTGCTGGTGTCCCTGCGTGGGCGCTCAGGTGAAGCAGCGAGCGCACCTCCACCACGGCGGCCGCTAGCATCGCCACGTTGCCTGTGAACAGCTCCGCGCCGCAGGTGAGCACCAGCACCAGGCCGACCGGCAGGCCGAAGGAGCCGCACACCTGCATGCCGGGCAGGGCAAGGGGGGCCCATGTTAGTCGCGGTGTGTGGTGCCGCATGAGCGCGCAGCGCTGCAGGGCGCTCCAGCACCCTACAGCGCCCTGCAGCATGGCGGCCTTTCAACGTGGCCCAAAAACGGCGGGCAGCACGCACCGTCTGCCGCAAGGGAGTGGGCGCAACGCCTGGCCAGGCCGTTGCAGGGCCAGGCTGGGCTTGCACGACACCTCATCTGAGCTGCTGCATCAGCCAGGCGGGGGCTCACCATCTTGTGCAGGCCAGGGTTGGTTGCCGCCAAGCCTGGACATACCAAAAAGGGAACGGCAAACTTGCAGCATCAGTCGGCTGGCTGCGTCATCGGGCAGCCTGCATGTCGGCAGGTTCATAGCACTGTCAGCGCTCACCCCCCCCCCAAACTACATTGAGTGCCGCAGCAACCCGTTGTTGCGCAGGCGCGCTCGACAGGCAGCGGCCCCCAGCCGGCCCATCGCGCTCACCCGGGCAGTTGGCTCCGACCGTCAGTGCGAGCAGCCCGCCCAGCCCGATGTACACACCTGCCATGACGCCTGCGAGAAGTTCGGGAGGGATATTGCGTTTCTCAAGGTCACCTCCAGCCCTGAGGTGCAGTCGGCGAGTCTTCTGGGACCCGACACTCCATTTGGCAGCGCTTGTCTATTGTAGCGCTGCTGCGGTGCAGAACGCAGCAGCGGCTCGGACTTGCATGCCCCACCACTCGACAGGCCCTACTCAGTGCTGCGCACCCATGAAGAGGACTTTCAGAGGCGCCATCACCGCCTTGGCGGCGCCCAGCGCCACAATGATCTCATAGCTGGGGCAACGTCATGGGAGCAGGGGCAGTATCGCGCGTGCATGATGCCGAGATGCGGAGGGCCTGGTGTACGCACCACACGCAGCGCTGGCGTCATGCGCAGAGCTGGCGTGCGCATCCTGGTTGCGGCTATGCATGAGCTTGGGCGCATAGCTGCAGCTCGGCGTCCCAAGCCTCAGGTGCTCACGCTTTCTTGGGAGGGTGGATTCCAGGGATGGGCTCGGGCGTGGAGATGGCTGGCGGCTGGGCTGCAGCTGCCACAACAGGCGGCAGCGTGGCCGTCGCCGCGTACGCCTGCGCGATGCTGCTGCCGGTGCTGCCGGTGCTGCCGTTGAAGCCCACAGGAGCGGCGGAGTGCACCGCGGAGACGCGCACAGCCCTGAAATGGCACTGGACTGCCAGGTGGGCGTCGCGCGACTGCGACTGTTGGCATGGCGTACGCACTGCGCCGCAGCGCCTGCGGTGTGTGATGCCGCCGAGCGCACGCAGCGGATCTACAGCAGCTATCAAAGGCATTTTAGTAGCTTGCTATGACGTTTCGCAAAACACACAAGTCGACCAGGGGGAGCCACCACGCACTTCAAGGATTGAGGTTTGACTCGTGAGGAACTCGCTATGCAAATATGCGATACATGTAAGAAGATTTCTTGTGGTTAAAGGTTTCTTCTTGGTGCCAGTCAGACCCAAAAAAACAGCAGCCGAGAACACGGAAGCTGCTGTGCTCGTTCGTGATTGAGCCCATGAGCCCTGGTGGCATGCAACTTAATGCAGCCACGTTACGTGGCTGTCCAGCGTAGCAATCCTGGAGCATAACTCATCAACCCAAAAGGATGGAAGGATGCTGGCTCGTCTCATCGTCACCGTCACCACTGCGCACCACCTGTGTTTCTGCAGGGCACCAACCACCGCAGCGGGAGGCAACATGATACAGATACTGTCACAAACACACCTTGGGATGAGGTGGCACCCCATGGCGACTGTATCGATGTGTTGACCAATCAAAGCCTGGTTGAAATCCCACAGGAGGGAGACTGCTTGCTGCGCGTTCAGCGGGTTCTCACACACGCAGCAAGAATGATTTTTCAGATGCTTGCTGTCCATAGCAAATGAACCTTGCAGGGGCCGCCCCAGCCCAGCAACTTGGATGAAGCAACTGGCCGCACATTGCCTCAAGAGTGTCGCACACGTACGAGATGCCTATGCCGGGCGGGAAGCTGAAAAGGAGCAAGCGGCAAAAGTTTATGGTGATCATGGTGTGTATGCGAACGACGAACACCTCATGCCCATGTCCCCATGTGTCCTGCGCTGCCCTGATGCCCTGGACACGCTCGCTGATGACAGCAGCTGGAGGCAGGCAGGCCCGTCCGCAGGACTGGCCCTCATCGATGTGGTGTCACGTGCACAACTGCACGGTGACCTGAATAATTACCTGAGGTCGTGCACCCCATCCTGTCTTGCTTGGCTGGCCGGAAGCACAACGAGATCGGATCGTCACAGCTGTGCTGTGCGCTCTGCGTTTGTTACGCATGAATCAATTACGCGGATGGCGCTTTCAGCGCTGCGGGCCCCTAGGAGGGCCCGGCGCAGCGCATCGTTGCTTGCGCCCGTGGGCTGCTGCTGCTCGGCGCGTCGCATGCCGCAGCAGCACGCGCGAGCAGAAAGACCCAGCGCGCTTCGCCTCAATGGAAGAGGCGCGCAAGTACCTGCATAGCGAGGCAGAGGGCTCCGGCCCCATCAGCGGCCTCCTCAACTGGCTGTCCAACAGCGCGTTTGGCATGACCCAGGTAGGCGAGCGCAGTGCGCAGGCGGGTGTTGCATCGCAGCGGCGCCCGTCGGCCGCAACGCACCATGCACCGTCAGCATTCCGGCACTGCAAGGCACCCCTTGCAAACGGGCACGGATGCTGTCATGCTGTTGATCTCATCATGCATCGCGCTCGCAGGGCGGGCTGGGCGGCGCGTACCGGGCCTGGCTGCAGCAGCGGCGGACTCCAGAACAGCGGCGGTGGGACCGAGTCGACGCGGCAGAGTGAGTCCCTCTCAGGGGAGCAGGGGTTGCGGGAAGGGCGACGCGCTCCTGCACGACTTAGCCCAGGTTGCCGTTCGATGCTTGACCACCGCCGCGCCCAGGTTGCCGTTCGATGCTTGACCACCGCCGCGCCCAACCCCTGTTGGCGGC